TCTTTCCCTTACTTCCCCAAACTTTGTTTCCTCAGGGCCCAGCTCAGGTTTTGCTGTGTATCTTCCTACCTTCCCCAACCTGGGATGGACTCTTCTTCTTCTACTTTAGTAGCTCTTAATAATGGCAGTCACAGATTTTGGAACTTTAGCAAAGCAGGGCAGTCAATATCTGATGTCTCTGGTCTCCCCACGAAAACCAAACTACAGTTTCATCTGCCTAGCAGAGTGACATTCCTCAGTACTTCAGGAGCTCTTGCAAAAGTTTTCTTTGTTCAGGACATCTGGCTGCAACTTAACTGAGGCCTCACACAGCCTTTTTGGTTGCTGTCCCATAAAGAGGAGAGCAGAAAAGTGGGTAGTGTTGTGGATTCCACAAGTTCCACTTTTTGAGTCTGAGAAATATCATTTCTTGTGGTGAGAGTATAGAATTTAAGTTTCACTTTAAAAATTGCACTGAAGGAAATCTCTCATACCAAAGGAAAACTTGTTATTTGGGCAGTTGTCTTTTTGAGATTACTTGAAGCATGTTTTCTTAGAGATTCTGTGGTGAGGGCGAGCTGGCGGAGGCATCTCTCAAGCCGGGGTGGGGTCAGGCAATGAAGTACAGGGAGCCAAGAGGCACCCCTCTAGGCAGCTGTGTGCTTCCTTTCCTGCCCAGCCTTTGGTTGAAGGGTGATTTCTATTTGGAGGAATCTATGCTTCAGTCATGGATGTAATAGAGGAACTTGTTTTCCTGATAGATTACTGAGTAGAATATTTAAGGAGTCCATTTCTGGGCTCTGAGGGAATGAAAGGCCAGTCTTTAAATTATTTTTGAGAGGAAAGGAGAGAGATTGTGAGAACATCAATTTGTTGTTCCACTGATTTATCCATCCGTTGGTTGATTCTTGTATGTCCCCTGACTGGGGATCAAACCGGCAACCTTGGTGTGTGGGGACAATGCTCTAACCGTTACCCAGCCAGGGCAATGGAAGGCCAGTCTTATCTCAAAAGGCTAAGACAACTTGGAATGACCTGGCAATTAGTTATATATACTTTGACATTTCTTTTCCCATGATGGCTTTTTAAAATATGTATTTTTTTGATTTCAGAGAGGAAGGGAGGAGAGAGAAACCTCGATTAAGAGAGAATCATTTGCCCTGACTGGCAATCAAACTGTGACCTCCTGGTTCATAGGTCCACGCTCAACAACTGAGCCATGCCAGCTGGGCTTCCCATGATGGCTTTTAAAGGAATATTTGACAATAGAATTCTAAACCTCTAAAATTACCCGTGGTGATTCTCATTTTATTCTCCAATTCATGTCATTTAAATTAGAAAATGGAAGCCTGTCCTTTGTGTCTACAGGGTAACTCGATACCCAGTGCCTCGTGTGTGATGAAAGCTAGCATGCTTGAACATGCTGCATCATATGAACTGGGAAGAGTGTGCTATGTATCAATCCTTCTAGGTCTGTCAGCTGTTTTCTGAAAACTTGCTGGGAAGGTTGTGTTTGGCGTGGCCTGGTTTAAGGATCCTGGGAAGAGATTTTCAGTTTTAAGTGTCTATCCAGAGCCAAGACTGAATCTCAACTTAGCTAGTTCCACAAGCCACATGTAAATTTCCTAACTATCCCAAACTCTTCTGTTAAAAGGTTGAGTCTGAGCTGCGTAGTTTTAAGCTGCCATCAAAGCCAGCCTCCTCACACTGATGTGTATATACGATAGATATTCCTTGAATTCCAAAATCTGCCATGTTAAGTAAATGGTTGATGTTGCTTCCCTTCTTTGTTTACCCACTTAGTAGATTGCCACTGTTTTGCAGTGTTTTATATTTTCAGCTTTTGTAACTTAACTATAATTATTTTTAAAGCTTATTTGGTCTAATGATAAGTATTTTTCAGTATCTAATGTTTTACTGAGCTTATGTGAATGCCACTTGATGTAATTTTGTATCATTGCAGAAACAAATAAATTTCAAATAGTAAAGCTATAAAATCATTGAATTTATTAATATTGTATTAGAATTATGTGATATGAGGCCTAAACAAGTGAAAGGTCCTTTTTATTCTTAACCTTCAGTCTTCATTTACTTTCCCATCCAATCTCCAATAAACAGGAAACGCCGTACCGGGGTTGTGCACATCCTGTAGATTTCTGTGTTGTGATGGTGACTGATTTGCAGCCCCAGTCCTCCCCACCAGGCAGCCCATGGACTAGATCTAGGAGGTAGCTGGCCCGTGGTCATCATTCATTTACTCTTGGCACTTGTCCTCTGCTGTCCCCTTGGCCTGGAATGCCCTTGCAGACCGCTTCAACCCGTGACATCACCTTTCCAGCCTGTGCCCTGGCTACCAGTCACCCTTTGTTATCTTTGAAAGATAAGCCTTGAGGCCCCGGTATAAGCTCCATAAGGGCGTGTCTCAGTGCTGCCACCCTGAGCATCATAAGGAAGACAAATCTAGGACCTTGGCTGCATAGGAATTGAATATTATCTTCTAAACACACACCTTGCAAACTGGTATTTGTTATTTTTCCAGCCCCCACAACCGCAATGAGCCTGCCGCAGGCATGTTTCCACCCCTGAGTGAGCCATTAGAACCAGCAAAAACTGGGATATGGAGGCCTCTGAACCTATAACCAAAACCATGCCCAGGCTTTGACTAACTCTTATTGGACACCCTTTTTCCTTAACAGCGTAGGATTAGAACCAGCAAAAACTGGGATATGGAGGCCTAACCTATAACCAAAACCATGCCCAGGCTTTGCCTACCCTTGTTGGACACCCTTTTTCCTTAACAGTGTAGACTGCAGCAGAGCACTTCGAGTGATGAGAGAAGCCTCAGGACAGCTGGACCAACGCTTTCAAGAGTATTCGGTTTTCCCTAGCTGGTTTGGCTCAATGGATAGAGTGTCAGCCCGAGAACTGAAAGGTTCTGGGTTCAATTCCAGTCAAGGCCATGTACCTTGGTTGC